GAAACCTTTCTGTGCCATGCTTGCTTACCAATTAAAGTCGCTTTATTTTTTATACATTCTGTGGTCTAAATTAACATTGGGGCATAAGTCATCTTTCTTGCAATCCTTCTCTACGAGGTGTAGCTTTGAGCTCTTCCATTGGCAGGCATTCAGCCTCCTCCTTTTCTCCTTCCCTCTCCCCTGCCTCTGTGCTTTAGGATGATCACCTGTTTCTTAGACCACTTGTGAAAGTGCATAGATCTGGCTCCATGCAAAGTAACTGGCTGAATGTTGTTGTCAAATCTGCTTGCTGTTTTAGTCCAGAAAAATAATCCTGCATTGCTTCAGTCTGTGGCAGGAAGGGAAGAAGCAGGGGATAATAGACAATAGACATCTTCAACTAGGTCAGGTTGCTCAGAGCCCCATCCAACCCAGACTTGAATGTTTCCAGGGATGGGGCATCTACCACCTTGCTGTGCAACTTGTTTGTAAAAACACCATCCTCATAGTAAAAAAATTCTTCCTAAACAGCAACATCAGGATAAGCAATAAGCCAGGTAGGAAAATCATGGAGTTGTCCTAGGTATCTTGTGAAACTTTGAAAATATACTGAGAAGGTTGTTTGTTACATCCTCCCTCCTGCCCCAAGGTGTGACCAAAACCTGGTTTTGAAACCACTTCTATGTTGAGAATTGAAGAAACGGTGAGATGGTAACAATATTACTTTTGATGGCTCATGAAGTTCAACTTTGAATGGTCTTCAATTAAATAGTAAGGCCTGCATGCACATAAACATGCGGCCACTGTTTTCTGGTAAGCATCAAATCTTTGTGAAGCAATTCTAAATATTTTTTCTTATTCTTTCAGACTTTTAGGTCTGAAAACATCTCATGTTTTCTTCATAGACTTAGCTAAGGGGTTTCTCTTCTAATCCTTTTGAAATACGAGCTTTTTCTTCCTTTTTTTAGTAGTAACAAAAATTAATTTGAGATATTCCTCCAAGTTCTGAGGTTGGGCAAAGCGAAGCAAAGGAGAAGAAGGAATGCATGTGAAGATAAGGAAGAGGAGAGTGAGAATAGCACAAAGCTTCTCCATAATTTAAAAGCTGGATAGTGCTTGCTTTTGCTCCGCAGAATGTTTTTATCTTAGCCATGTTTTGGGGTTTGTTGTTGTTGTTTTTTTTTATCTCCAGTGTATACATGTCTTATTTTCATTGTCTTAATAACTCTGCTAGGAATCGTGCATTGTCAGGCATGTAGCTGTCCATTCTACAACAGTAAAAGTAAAGCATATCTTCCACGTTAACCTTACCGAACTGTAAAAATAATTAAGTACTATGAAATGTACTTAATTACATTAAGTACCATAAAATGTGTATTCAAGACATCTATACGTCTAAAATACCTTAAGTGAAAACATACATACAAAAGTGTGCATCTGACTATGCAAGTGGACATGCACTGTGTGTTACAATATTATGCGTTATAACAATCGTAGAATTGTTGGGGTTGAAAGGACCTCAAAATCATCTAGTTCCAACCCCCTTGCCATGGGCAGGGACACCTCATACTAAACGATGTTGCCCATGGCTCTGTTCAACCCAGCCTTGAACACTGCCAGGGGTGGAGCATTCCCAGCTGCCCTGGGCAAACCATTCCAGTGCCTCACCACCCTCACAGTAAAGAACTTCTTCCTTATATCCAATCTAAACTTCCCCTGTTTAAGTTTTAACCCGTTACCCCTTGTCCTATCAATACAGTCTCTAATGAAGAGTCCCTCCCCAGTATCCTTGTAAGGCCCCCCTTCAGATACTGGAAGGCTGCTATGAGGTCTCCCCTCAGCCTTCTCCAGGCTGAACAGCCCCAACTTTCTCAGCCTATCTTCATATGGGAGGTGCTCCAGTCCTCTGATCATCCTCATGGTCCTCCTCTGGACTTGTTCCAACAGTTCCATGTCCTTTTTATGTTGAGGACACCAGAACTGTACACAATACTGCAGGTGAGGTCTCGCAAGAGCAGAGTAGAGGGGCAGGATCACCTCCTTTGCCCCGCTGGTCATACTCCTTTTGATGCAGCGCCGGATACGGTTGCCTTTCTGGGCTGCAAGCGCACACTGCTGGCTCATGTTAAGTTTCTCATTGACAGCACACCCAAGTCATTCTCTGCAGGCCTGCTCTGAATCTCTGCCCAACCTGTAGCTGTGCCTGGGATTGCTCCGACCCAGGTGTAGGTCCCAACACCGATCCCTGAGGGACACCACACATTACTGGTCTCCATCTGGACATTGAGCCACTGACTACAACTCTTTGGGTGCAGCCATCCAGCCAGTTCTTTATCCACCGAGTTGTCCATCTATCAAACTGATGTTTCTCCAATTTAGAGATAAGGATGTCATGCAGGACAATTTTCAATGCTTGCACAAGTCCAGGTAGATGATGTCTACTGCTTTACCCTTGTCCATCAGTTCCGTAGCCCCATCATAGCAGGCCACTAAATAATAATAATAATAATAATAATATACTAAATAATATACTAAAAGTGTAGCTTTTGTATGTTCTTGAGAAGAATGGCATTGCAATATGCTTTTTGACTGCCTTGGTGTATGTCCATGCAAAAGTAAAAGTCTTATTTTTTTCTCTTATGACATGTTGGTAATGTTTTCTCTCTGACCTTGAAAATCCAATGTCAAAAGTAAAAGTAATGGAGACGTTTTCTCCAGCCCAGTTTTTTAATCAAAAAATCAAATGCAATTGTTCATGTTTTGTTTGGGCTACACTGGCGTCTCTCCTTCCTGTGTCTGTGTAGCTGGGATCCAGCCTGGAGAAGGCTTACAACCAAAGAGGAAACGTATGTTCAAAACTCCTGCAAGCTGACTTACAGTTCTAGTGTCGTAACAGCTAAGAGAAAATTGCATATGCTAATAGGTTTTTCTGAAGGTCCTCAGAGGCTTCAGTGATTAATGCTTTGTCTTCCCCTGTCCTTTCACACATGGAGATCAGGCTATAATCTTAAATTCCTGAAAACAGAAAGGATTATTAGGAGATAGAATTAATATGTCTTCTCTCTGTTACTGCAATGCAGTTTAGAGCCTGTGGCATGCTGCGCACTTATTTCCTTCCTTTCCCAGAGGCTGATATTTCTGCACAGCCTTGTGATGTCTGCTGTCACTTCCCACTCTCCAATGTTATATCTGCTGCATTTTCACCAAAGCCAAATGTGTTGCTTCAAGCTTTTGCAGGGGCAGCTAGTTCAGAGATTCAGCTGTCAAAACCTTTCTTGTTCTGGCAGTCTTCCCTCTTGCTTGGAGAACATACTGAGGAATATAGCTAATTTTAAAAAATAGAAGTGTAATTCCTATTCTAGGTAATGGAACCTGGCCAGAAACTTGGCTGACTTGCCAAGTGTTTCACTTAGTCTGAGCTGAATTGCTGCTCTCCAAGCTTCATTGATTTAATCTCAAAATGTGTTTAGGCCTCACCTTCATGGTTTTGGGTGGGGGTGTTGCCTAGAGTGAAGAGCTGAATTAATGTTCAGGGAACACCAATTAAAAAAACTAGGCCACTTTTGACTGAACGTTGTTTCTTTATGCATAGTCTTTTCTGTGCTTTTGTGAGTTTAAGAACAGTGGAATTTAATGGAAATACTGTCAATAGCTGTTTTTAGGGACAAGGCATGAGACTAGATGCATCTTTGGTCTGAAAATGAATTAATGTATTACTGGGACAGTTTCTTGCTGGTAAACTTCAAAGTTGTGGGTGTTGATAGGTCCAGATGGGACAAGAAGAATAATTTAAGTGGTAGGTTGGATGGGTTTCAGTAGGTAGAAGAACCAAGACTAACTCATATCTTTTTATCTGCACTAAGGCCTCTTTTTGACAATCTACAGGTGAAATGTTACTGTTCATACATAAAGTGGTATTTATACTATAGCAGAGTATTACTATCTTATCATAATTGATCCTGTTCACTACTTGATTAATGACAGGTGATCTGGTAGATCTAAATGGATTCAACACTTTTCTGTAGAATTTATAATCTCATGGATTTTGGAGGTAAATTTCAAGGTCTTTTGTATTTGCTGCTGTAGTCTCTAGCTTTATAAAGCAAACAGTCTATCTCAAATCCCTGCTTTTTCCTGAGCTGAAATCTACAGAGGTGCTTATGTTGGGTCACACTGGAGAGAAAATATTGATAAGCCCTTCAAGAGCAAGTAGATTTCTAAAGAAGATGTCTAGGTCTGAAACAGAATTTTGTTCATTTTGAGAACATACTGCAAATTTAGCTCTGTAAGAGAAGTTCCCTGAAGAGATGATAACCTTTTGGTGGTCATTGGTCAACAGTGGCTGATTTGAAGGACAGCAGAGTTGGTGGTGTTACAGAGAAGAGCAGTTAGATTGATCAGAGTGATGGAGCAACTACGTTGAGGAGAGACTATGAAGGCTGGGCTGAAGAAGTAGAGAAGGCTGTGGAGCTGTGGCTTTCTATAAAAGCATGAAGATAGTGGATTTGTTGAATAAGGTAGTTGTTCACCAGAATTAGTGAGATTTGAACTAGCAGGCGTTCACTGTAACTAGTAGATTATTTTAAATCAAGTATTTAAGTATACTTATACAAGTATAAGGTAGAGAACTGCTGCTGCAGGCGTTCTGGAGGGGAAAGAGTATCAGCAGGTTTGAAAGGTATTAGACAAATTCATATGCAACAAGCACATCAATAGTCATGGGAAAAACAGGATGTATTTCCTACATCCTTTGCTGTTACCAGCATGGACTCTGGGGAATTACAAGAGCGCAGATGGTGGAAAAGAACTGGGCTTGCGTGTTCTTTCTAAGTGGCATCTTCTGTTACAGCCATCAGAGACAAAATGTAGGTCTGATGCAGAAAATCATTTCTTGTATTTGCTGTTTCCCATTTGTTTAGTTTACCCTTTATTTGTGAAGAATCACTTTTCTCATACAAATTACACCTTTATATGAGCTACACTGAGCTGACCATAGATATAATTTTTTTCATGTTTTACAGTGAATAACCCTATACCTTCCAACTTGAAGTCAGAAGCTAAAAAGGCAGCTAAAATATTGCGAGAATTTACTGAAATAACTTCTAGAAATGGACCCGATAAAATCATACCTCGTGAGTAAAGAAAATGTTCCGATTCCGCTAAAACCTCCAGCACTCCCCTGTGTTGCACTCATGCTCTTTTTCCCAATTCCTTCTGTTTTCACTGGCCATAAGTTAGAGAGGAATGAAGATCTGGGGTGCTATATCTCTTATGAAAGCATTTTGGAATTGAACAGTTTCATTTTGCTATATTCTAGTCAGACACTACTTGCTGGGGAAGAGCTTTCGTATGCTTACAACCACAGGGTATCTGAACAGGAAAGCTTCCCTTTAGGGTGGACAACTGTCTTTCGTGCTTGCCCTGTGAATGTGTTTTTAAGGGAGAACCTGGAAGACTAGCTCTAGTTCTTGAGAATATCTGTGTTTGTTAGAATTAGCAAGGTGAAAATAAGTTGAAGGAGAGAGATCAGGGTATCTTTCTCCTTTGATATTCTTATTTTCTGCTGTCCTCTTTATTTCTGCAGTTGTTATTCTGTGTTTCTACTAGTGTCCTCCTTCATCTGGTATTGCTGTTTGTGGCTTTGAATTAATAACTATTATGTTCCAGAAGGTCTGTAACAAGACTTGCAAGATGATGACACTTTATTTGCCACAATATGTCTAACGATAATAAGCTCATTAGGCTGCTGTATATCATTGTGATTTAAATTCAGACTCCTTTCCTCCGAAATCTGTGAAGACATAGACGTCAGCTATCTTGCTAAGGGTACTCACAGTGCTCATGGCAGTATGCAAACTAATTGTGGATGTGCTAACCAGGATAGATGAAGCAGTTGTGACAGTTTAGGGGTCAGTACACCGGCTACCATGACCTGTGACAAGTTTTGTGGTTGACTGTGGAGATGTGGGTTTAGCCCCAGCCAGCCACTGGCTCAGTCCCTCCCAGTGGGATGGGGGAGAGAATTGGAAAAGTGAGAAAACTCATGGGTTGAGATGAAGACAGTTTTATAGGTAAAGCAAAAGCTGCCCACACAAGCAAAGCAAAACAAGGAATTCATTCACTTCATTCACTTCCCATTGTCAGGCAAGTGTTCAGCCATCTCCAGGAAAGCAGAGCTCCATTACATGAAACAATTGCTTGGGAAGACAAATGCTGTAATTCCAAATGTCCCTCCCTTTTTTTTCCTCCCTCAGCTTTTATTGTTGAGCATGACTCTGTATGGTCTGGAATTATAGGCTGCGAAAGTTGGGGATGTTCAGCCTGGAGAAGGCTGAGTGGAGACCTCATAGCTGCCTTCCAGTATCTGAAGGAGGCCTATAAGGATGCTAGGGAGGTACTCTTCATTAGGGACTGTAGTGATAGGACAAGGGGTAACGGGTTAAAACTTAAACAGGGGAAGTTTAGATTGGATATAAGGAAGAAGTTCTTTACTGTGAGGGTGGTGAGGCACTGGAATGGTTTGCCCAGGGAAGCTGTGAATGCTCAACCCCTGGTGGTGTTCAAGGCCAGATTGGACAGAGCCTTGGGTGACATGGTTTAGTGTGAGGTGTCCCTGCCCATGGCAGGGGGGTTGGAACTTGATGATCTTAAGATTCTTTCCAACCCTAACTATTCTATAATTCTATGAATATCCTTTGGGTCAGTTGGGGTCAGCTGTTCTGGCTGTGTCCCTTCACAATTCCGTGTGTACCTCCAGCCTACTTGCTGGTGGGGTGAGGTGAGGAGCAGCAAAGGCCTTGAATGTGTGTAAGCTCTGCTCAGCAGTAACTAAAACATCCCTGTATTGCCAACAGTGTATCAGCACAAATCCAAAACATAGTTTCATATTAGCTACTATAAAGAAAATTAACTCTATCCCAGCCAAAATCAGCACAAGGCATCATCAGTTCAGCTCTTTCTGTATTTTTCTTTAAGCTTTTGCTTTGATTATTTGACTCTTCTGTCTTCAGAATTGTTAAAGTTTTATTTTCCCCTTCTTTTACAAGTTTTCTTGCAAGATCTTGAAGAAATTATTTTGCTGTTTCAGCTCATGTAATAGCTAAGGCCAAAGGCCTTGCAGTTTTGTCTGTTATCAAAGCTGGATTTTTGGTGACTGCTCGAGGCGGAAGTGGAATTGTATTAGCTCGTCTTCCTAATGGAAGTAAGTGGATATTTTCCTTTTCTACTTCATGGGAGAATTAAAAGAGAATAATAACAATAAAAAAAAACTTCAGTATTTTTTTTCATAGCATAAAACAAAAGCTGTGTGAGGATTCAAGCCAGTAGGTGACAATGTTTGGTTTGAAAGCTATTTTCAAAATATTGTACGTATTTTTTACCAGATGTAAATGCTTTCAGTATCTTTGTAGAAAAGGGTGAGATATAAAAGCATATAGATTAAAACTCATAAGAAGAATGAATTATATCCAATTATGGACAACTCTATGATAAATAATTTGTAATAAAGGTTTGTTAGATCACAAGGGTTTGTATTTCTTAAATGCATTCATGTGGAACAAACCAGTATAGTTATGTGATTCTATTATAGTGGGTTTGAACATAGTTTTAAAGAGAGAATTTGCTAGTAGTTTTTAACTGTAATAGTAAAATTAGTATTCCTTGTAACATGTGGTAAAGATTCTGTAAATTTGTCTTGTTTTGCTTAACAGCCTGGTCTGCTCCTTCTGCAATAGGAATTGCTGGCCTGGGTGGTGGATTTGAAATTGGAATTGAGGTATAATTTTTCATTTGAAATACTTGTTGGTAACTTTTTTTGTAAGAAATTATATTGACAAAGATCTAAATGTTAGTGAGATAGCAGAATCTATTTTTCTATGTTAAAAAGCTGTTACAGAATTCATATATATATATATATATAAGACAAACAAAACAGGGATTTTTATCCTATCAGTCTAATTGCTTGAAGTGATTTAAATGAAAACAAGTGACATAACAGCTATTTACTTGATTTCTCACTTCTGAAAGACTGAATTTTTCCCTTATGGAAAGTTTCCTTTCAGTATTCACATACAATCCAATTGGAATTAATTAAAAGTATTCTAGACTTCATACAGTATCAAATGCTTTATGAAAGAGTGCAAGGACTCCATCTGGCAAGAAACAGTGAAAGGAATTGAAGGCTAAGTAAAATGGAGCCTAGCTAATGTTACTGTTCTTCATGCATTTCCCACTCAAACTTGTGATTACTGACTTTGGGAATACCAAAACTGATTGTTTCTCCTGTCTAAGAATGCTGCAGAAAACAAGCTAGTTTGCAGCCGGCAGAAATGGTCAAGTAAGGGATTCTCAGCATGTTCAGAAAAATCCTGTTGATCTGAGCCCTGTCAGCACTTTGCCTCTGCTTCCTGTCTCTTCCTTCTCACAGCTCTCACCCGTGCTTGTTTCCATCTTTCTTCTTCTTTTCCACCCTAGCCTCCAGTTCTGCCCTCTTTTGTTTCTGTTTAGCTTCTTTTCTGCCATTCCCACAGAAAATCAAAGTAACAGTATGCTGCCAGCAAAATCTGTTGCTATGGGTGTTCTGCTCTTCAGAAGAATCCATGCATAGCTGACATGCATGGTCCACACCGGTTCCCAGTGTGTCTCTTACAGCTAAACAGCTCTTGACAGCCAGTTAGCTATCACTCACATAATGAGCGAAGGATCAATATTTTGTTGTATCCTCGTTTGCTGTGTGATCTCAGCCATTATTGCTATGCACTTTTTAAAGGATGCTGTGAATATGAAATTATTGATTTTTTTTTTTTTTTTTTTTTTTTTTTTTTTTTTTTTTGGTAGGGATTTTTCTTCAGTGTTCATGGCTACAGGTTCTGAACACATTACAAAACATTGAGTTTGAGCCACAGCATCCAGGGGTTTAAGGGGTTGGGGGGAGGGATTGTTGTTTTTTTTTGGGGGGGGGGGGTTAGCTTTGCTTTTATGACAATGAAACAGATTTTTCACATGCTTTGATTAATCTATGAAACTTTTCCTTTAATCATCTCCATCTGATATTTTAGATAATGTAACCATTACTGATACTTACTGAAATAATTTTGACACAGAAGCTACTTCTGAGATGGTGTGTTTTTTCTGAGCAGTATTTTCCTTTATTTGAAATTTTAGCTTACAAAATACTGCTTCCTTATTGGCATTATAATAACACAATCTTATTTATTTCTTCTAGAGAAGAGGTGCTATTCAGAAATACTTAAGTGGCTTAGTAGCCCAGAGTCCAATATCAGCATCCAATATCAGTCATATATAAACTTAAACCTTGTAGAAATAAGTTGAATTTTATTCCTGTAGGAGAGATTATAGTTGGCATAGTTGTAGTGGTAATTATGGGTGGTTTTAAACAACAAGGAAATCACAGACTTCAGAAGTCACTGTAAGCAACCTGGTACCTCAAATTAAAGACCAATTTTTAAACTCATCTAGATGCTTTCCTTGAGAATTTTCTCACTATAGATTAATTTAGCTTTAGTTGTGGATTCAGCCTCTTAATGGGTTAGAGGAGGTAACAGCATCATGAATGACATTCTCTTTCCATCCTTGGATGATTCAGAAAGTACTCATGTCAGCTATCTTTTCTTTGGGATGGGGTGGAGCTTACCAGGGGGCTAATAACAAAGGCCTGTCTTACACTGTGTGATATTTCTGGGCCAGCTTTGTTTTGCAAATAATTTGGTATTTCCTCTTGTATTCCCTGCTGTCACTGTTTGGAATGTGGGGTAAGTCGAAAGATTTTTCTGAACCTGGCATTCAGTCAAGTCCATCGGATGAAAGATCAAGCACAGCAGTTCTTGGATAATCAAGGTATCTGTTGAAAAGATAATCCAACACAGTAAGCTGCAATAGTGTAATATACTTTGTTGATCAGGCTGGTATATTTTTTAATACATGTAATGTGTTTACTGAGCTCTCAGATAAGATATTGATCTTTATAGGATCATGCTTGTGTTTGAAAGACTTTTTCTTTCTTTTAAAACTCTTCCTAGTTTGAGAAGAGTTGTAGGAGACTTTTATTGAAATTTGTTAAATCATAGAATCGTAGTATCATGGAATAGTTAGGGTTGGAAAGGACCTTAAGATCATCTAGTTCCAACCTCCCTGCCGTGGGCAAGGACACCTCACCCTAGACCATGTCTCCCAAGGCTCTGTAATCAAAGACAGTTATAGTTTTACAGTGCTGATGGTAATTGGCATAAACTTAAATACTAGTAGAAGTTCTTTGATGTAATTTTCTGTCACACTTCAGGCAAATAAAGTCTTCTAGAAATAGTGATTTTTCTTTTTTTTTTTTTTTCCATTTTGCATTTGAACCTTTCAAAAATACTTCGTTAGCTTTTCAGTTATTTAGTTAGGTTTCTTGAAGAAACTGGCTACATCTCATGTATTCAAATCTTAAAAAAATAAATATACATTTATATATGTATATATACATATATATATTAAACAGCTAATTTTCTCAAGAAAATAAAGTCAATAATGGGATAAACTGTATCCTTTTTACTGTTTATTCTTTGAACAGTAATTTTGTTTACTAAGATCTGTCTTGCTATTATTGATTCCATTATTGAAGGATCAAAATTATTTTCTTAATCTAATCTCACTTCTCATCTGAAAATGCCTTCATAACTGCTTGCAAAAGCTGTAGAAAATAAAAATTTGTTAATTTGGAAATTTTGAATTAAAACAGGGTTTCAGTTGCAGCTATTGCTTATCACATACTGACCATATCAATGCTTGGGAAAAAATCAGTCAAATTTGATTTTTAGTTTAAAAATACCTTGCAGAAAAAGAACCAACTTTAGTATGAAAACTGTTTCAAATGAATCCTTTACAAGTAAAGAAGTAATTCTCTGAGAGAATGAGTGATTCTTGCTTGAATTAAAGCCTTAAACAAGCTGGTGCTTAAACAAGCTGAGCTTAAACAAGCTCATTTGCGGCTTCCACCTGCTTTCCTACAAAACTGAAGATACTCCTCCCATGATGTTCTAATTTTCTTCTTAAAAAGCATACTACTTTTATTTGATATTTTGTAGGTTTCAGACTTAGTAATCATACTGAATCATGAAAGAGCAGTAGAAGCTTTTGCCAAAGGAGGTAATCTTACACTTGGAGGAAATCTTACTGTGGCAATTGGACCTCTGGGGAGGTGAGTGAAATACTTTCCTAATAGATTTGAGTATAGGGTAGTTAAGTAAGGAAGATAGTTTTTAAATCTATATATAGACATTAATGTGGCTTTTTCTGATATGTTACAAAACAACCTGGGCAACCTGTACTGTATGTTGACTGGATCATACTGTTCTTGTAGTGTTACACCTTTTAAGTCACTTGTTTGTGGGGGTTTTGTTTGGTTGGTTTGGTTTCTTTTTTTGATAAAGGCACTTATTGGTAGAAGGAAAGTGTTCCGACATTTATTCTCTTTTTACAGGAGACTGCTTGAGTAGGCTCAATAAAGAGCACAGGCATTATTGTGCCTGAGCTATCATTTTGTTAATTACAGGTTCTGCTTTCTGTCACCACAGATCTGCCTGACAGTAAATAAAAATATACCAAATAATTACTTTTAAACCTTAAAGCAGGTTAAGCCAGCTGACTTTGAAGGTTAAGATGGTGTAATCACAGGATAATTTAACTTGAAAAGGGATCTTACGAGAACTCTACTCCATCCTCCTGCTCAAAGCAGAGTCTGTTTTGACTTCAGATCAGGTTGCTCAGGCCTTTATTCCAGCTGCATCTTGGAAACTTCAAAAGGTGGAAACTGCTTAGGCTCTCTGGGCAACCTGCTTGACTGTTCAGCTGTCTTCATGGTTAATTTTTTTCCTTACATCCAGTCAGAACATTTGTTGCTTCAATTTATGTCCGTACCTTTTTATCCTTCCACCATATACTGCTGGTGACTTCATATTCTGGATTGCCTCTTCACAGATACTTAAAGGCTGCTACATTCTCCCTAAGTCATCTCTTCTCCAGACTTACCTAGCCCACTTGCCTCAGGCTATTCTCATGGGACATGTGCCTCGTTATGCCTTTTTTAATTATGGGTTTTTTTTACTGACCTTTTTTTTTTCCATGTTCTCTGACAAAATAAAAGGATAAGATGATTCCTGTTCCACAGATGAGAGAGATCTATGGATCAGGGGTGAGCAGTGAATGTCATCTGCCTTTCAAAGTCATTCAATATAGCGTTCTGCAACATCTCCATGTCCAAGCAGGGCTATTTCGGCCTAGGTGTCAGGATGGGACAGACTAGCAAATAGGTGAAAAACCAGATAAGCAGGCTTAAGAACAGTGGTGAATGATTCATGTTGTACTCAGAAGCCAGGTTTCTGTGGAATTCCTCAGAAGAGTCTTATGAGACCACTCCTGCTTGATATTTTATCAGTTACCTGGAGGAGCAGTTGCAAAACATTCTCTTCAAGTTTGTGGATGACACCAAATCAGGGGGTGCACTTCAGGGTAGGACCACCATTTTGAGTGATAGACCTGGAATATCCAACAGGAAACTTCCTGAAGTTAAACAAGGACATATGCAAAGTTCTGCACCCTTGGTTGGATGAACCCTCTGCAGTCATGTAGGCAAGCCTGCCAGGCTGGATAGCTGCCCTATTGGGAAGGTACCAGCACCTTGGTGGACAGTAAGTTGAATATGAAAGCGTACAGAACAGAAAACAGCATCCTGAACAGTGTAAAGCTCTAACCAGTGGATAAGAGACATAACTGTTCCCCTTTACTTGGCATTTCATAGACAGTCTAGAATATTTCGTCCAGTTTCAGCCCTACATTACAATAAAGGTGTTTATAAATTTGATTCTGTGCAGTGAGTGGCTACCAAGATGGCCAGGGACATGGATTACATGTATAATGAAGATGGGATTGCTCAGTTTATTTAACCTGGAGAAGACTTTGAGGTCTTCCCCAAAAGGGAATCACCAAGAAGACGGAGCCCAATTCTTTACTGAGGTGCATGTCAAGGCAGTGAGAAATGATAGTCATTAATTGACACAAGAAAGGTTATGACTGGATATGAGAAAAAAAAAAACATGATTATGACAAAAATAATTGGATCAAAATTATTGCATTATTGGCAAAATCTTGGAGCAGATTCTCCTGGAAGGCATGCTAAGGCACATGAAAAACAACAAGGTGCTTGGTGACAGCCAGCATGGCTTCACTAAGGGGAAATCCTGCCTGACCAATTTGGTGGCCTTCTATGATGGGGCTACAGAACTGATGGACAGGGGTAGAGCAGTTGATGTCATCTACCTGGACTTGTGTAAAGCGTTCAGCACTGTCCCACACAACATCCTTGTCTCTAAATTGGAGAGACGTCAACTTGATAGGTGGACCACTCGGATAAAGAACTGGCTGGATGGCTGCATGCGAAGAGTTGTCATCAGTGGCTCAGTGTCCGGCTGGAGACCAGTAACAAGTGGCGTCCCTCAGGGATCGGTGTTGGGGCCGGTCTTGTTTAACATCTTTGTCGGTGACACAGACAGTGGATTGAGTGCGCCCTCAGCAAGTTTGCTGATGACACCAAGCTGTGAGGTTCGGTTGATACGCTGGAGGGAAGGAATACCATCCAGAGGGACCTTGACACTCTTGTGAGGTGGGCTGATGCCAACCTCATGAAGTTTAACCATGCCAAGTGCAAGGTCCTCCACTTGGGTCGGAGCAGTCCCAGGCACAGCTACAGGTTGGGCAGAGAAGAGATTCAGAGCAGCCCTGTGGAGCAGGACTTGGGGGTGCTGGTCGATGAGAAAATGAACATGAGGCGGCTTCAGTGTGAGCTCACAGCCCAGAAAGCCAATCCTACCCTGGGCTGCATCAAAAGGAGCATGACCAACAGGGTGAAGGAGGTGATCCTGCCCCTCTACTCTGCTCTCGTGAGACCTCACTTGCAGTATTGTGTACAGTTCTGGTGTCCTCAACATAAAAAGGACATGGAACTGTTGGAACAAGTCCAGAGAAGGACCATGAGGATGATCAGGGGACTGGAGCACCTCCTGTATGAAGACAGGCTGAGGAAGTTGGGTCTGTTCATCCTGGAGAAGAGAAAGCTTGAGTGGAGACCTCCTAGCAGCCTTCCAGTATCTGAAGGGAGCCTATAGGGATGCTAGGGAGTGACTCTTCATTAGGGACTGTATTGATAGGACAAGGGGCAACAGGTTCAAACTTAAATAGGGGAAGTTTAGATTGGATATGAGAAAGAAGTTCTCTACTGTAAGGGTGGTGAGGCACTGGAATGGGTTGCCCAGGGAAGCTGTGAATGCTCCATCCCTGGCGGTGTTCAAGACCGGATTGGACAGAGGCTTGGGTGATATGGTTTAGTGTGAGGTGTCCCTGCCCACGGCAGGGGGGTTGAAACTAGATGTTCTTAAGGTCCTTTCATAACTATTCTATGATTATAACTGAGCACTCATCCAGGTTGCTCAGAGTGTCTGTGGAATCTGTATCCTTGAAAGTCTTCAAAACAAAGCCCAGAGCTGCCTGCTCTCAGTTTGATGTTGTATCTGTTTTGGACTGGCTGACTGCCTGAAGTATCTTTAAACCTAGAATATTATGTGGTCCTGTGTAGGACAAAAATTGTAATCTTCCAATTCTGTTGAGGTTTGATAAGGTCTGACTTGGTATATTTTGTGCTGTTTTGGGCACCATAAAATCAGGGAAGATTTGTATGTATTGGATAGGGTCCCAAGTCACCACAAACATAATCAGATAATTTGAAAACATGATTAAAACATGGGGTAATATTTCAGACTTCTGAATGCAAGAGGAGGTCTAATGTGGAACATTCACACGAGACAGCATTGTTCTGTGCTTCAGAGGAACCAACCTAAATTACATTGTACTGGGTCCTGTCTAAACTAAGAACTGAAAAGGGATTTCAAGTCTGACCCACTTAAGTGTATTCAGTAGAGTTTATAAGAGCAGAGGGAAGTGAAATTTTGCAGTGTTTTGTAGGATTAAAAAAAAAAAAGACAGTTGCTATTCTTGTTGAAAAGCCATATTGAAAAATGTTAATCAAATTTTTTTTCCTCCTAGAAACTTAGAAGGGGATGTTGCCCTGAGAAGTTCTGCGGCTGTGTATACATACTGCAAATCTAGAGGTCTGTTTGCAGGTGTATCCCTGGAAGGAACCTGTTTAATAGAAAGGAAAGAAACAAATCGCAAGTAAGTTCTCTTTAAATCTAGAAGATTCAGTGAATTCATAGTGATAAAATTAACTAGGACACATTCAATCTGGAAAAATCTTTGTTGTAAGAACATACTGTGCTGAGTTTAGAGTTTCTTGAGGGACAAGGGTTTCTTCAATTTGGACATCTTCTAATGGGTGTTGAGGTGATGCTGAATGTTCAAAGATTATGTATATATTAGGTGCTTCTAGCAGCTTCTCAGAGTAGCCGCCCTTGCAGCCCTGCCTCTTACCAAAACCTCGCCATCTAAACCCAGCACCATATTGTAGAAGATAGGTGTTGAGGTGTTTACTGCATAATAATATTCTTTTAGGCAACTTGAAACAAAAAAAAGATATCTAGTTTAGAGCACCAGTGAAATTGGAAAAATGCCCAGCTTATGAAATGGTGCTTTCTTTTTGCATCCTGTTAAGTTTAAAATCCACAGAACCTCTGTGTCTTGCACTTCTATGTTCTGTGTTTCTGAAAACTGTGATTCTGGTAACATCAGCAAAGACTTAAGACTGATTTTAATCACAGCATGTCAGTAACTTTTAGCTATCTTCAAAAAATTCCATTCAGGAAAGAATCTATTAAAGTGTTTTTGAAAAGTGGTGTGGTGTTTATTGGTGAGGCACTGGAGTGGGTTGCCCAAGGAAGTTGTGAATGCTCCATCCGTGGTGGTGTTCAAGGCCAAGTTGGGCAGAGCCTTGGGTGACATGGTTTAGTGTGAGGTGTCCCTGACCATGGCAGGGGGGGGTGGAACTAGATGATCTTAAGGTCCTTTCCAACCCTGACTATTCTATGATTCTATTCAGTTTGCTATGTGATTGGATTTCAGAAGGTCTAGTTGATTTATACTGTGTGACCAGGAACAAAATATTACTCACAAAGAATAGGTAGAAGTAAGATGGTAGATAGGCATTGAGGTTTGCTGCAATTACTTATCATTCGAGATTTACATAATTGAATTAATTCTGTCGCTTCTCAATGTATGATCAGTAGGAGAAATGCAGGGACAGGGAGGGGGGCAACATTTGCACACATTAATTTATCTAGACATTGCAATGTAATGATGATCAAATACCTGGCATCTTTTCTCCTGTATCAGGTTTTATGGCCAAGATATTCGTGCTAGTGCCATCTTGCTTGGTGATGTGCCTTTTCCTGCACAAGCAGAAGATCTTTATGAAACTCTAGCATCCTTCACTGAAGTATATGAAAATGAAGAGCAAAAAAATAATCCAGGGAAAACTGTAAGGGAACAAAGAAGGGTTTGTGCACCTCTCTTTCACATAGGCTTTCTCTGCTCCTGAGCTGTTCCTAGTCAGTGGTAATGTTGATGGTCATGTACCATTGTTCACTATTGGATGCTTAAGCACATTGCAGATACTTCATATGAGTAATACATTCATTCAAGCATTGCCCTGGTAGGCTCTTGTGGACAAGAATGTTTTTGATTTTGCTTTGCATCCTCCAGGATAATAAAGTACATCCTTGTTTTTACAGTAGTGTGTAATCAAATCTGAGATGATGATTAGAAAAGTTTGTTCAACTATTCCTAATCAAGTTAATCTGCAAGTAACGTGGGTTTAATAATAATGAAGTTAATACCAGGTTTGATGTGGATACTTTCTTTCTATTTTTCTTTTCTTCCATTTAAACAATCACATTTACAAGGTCATACTAAGACTGTAGATATTTTCTTGTAGATGTTAATGTTACAGATAAACAGTAATTTACTTACATCTTTGTTAAACTATGGTGAATTACATTACAGTTATTTATGTCACTGGTTCTTCAGTGTGCTTCTGGAGTTCACACCGTTTCAGTGGAGAAAGAGTGATTTTTATGGGTTTTTTTTTCCAGTGTAACTTGTCCTACCTCTAGGCTCTGAAGTTACAATCTAGTTCCAGGTGTGATACAAATTTTTTATTAAAATTTGTACATTTTAGGTAAATGACCCCCCTGCTAGACCATCGTTGAGACCTGAACCACCTAAACCCACTGTTAGACCAACACCACCAGGTTAAAAGCATTTTGATAATCATTAATTTATTCTCTAAATAAAATTAGACACTGAAGCTAATGAATATTATGCAATTATTATAGTAGTAGCTGTCTCTATAAAAACTTGGGCAAACATTGAAAGCATGTTGGGATAGTGCCATGAGCACTAAAAGGTAAATATTTTGTTTGGTTTGCTATATATAGTGTTTGTGTAGTTACTTAAGCATGTAAGTGTTCAAAAGGAACCATTCATGTTTATTGCATGCTTAGAAGCCCCATGGTACAATGAAGCTTCTTAGTAAAAACAACAGTTCTACTAGAAACTGCTAGTCCTACTCCTAGAAATTCTGGTTTCTAGAAAGCTTAGTTTCTCTTTTAGGTTGTCATTATCTATCTCACAACAGAGCAGAGGAGGCAGAGTTTGGGCTCTGTAACAGTTTGACTACCAAAGTGCTGTCATTGAAAGTGAGGCTTTAATGTGTAGCTCCTATTGTTAACTTGATTTATTTCTCCAGACAAGGATAGAAGGCAAAGTCCTTGTTTCTTTCTTGGGTATTGCTCCTTAGGTAACTGCAATCATTTTATAACTATTGAACATGTATTACAAAAGCAGTATATGAAATATAATAATATGTGATGTATATTATATAACTTGCTACTTTTTCTCTTTCAGCTAAAAAGAATACAAACAAACTTTATCCTGAGCTTCCAAATGATTATGCCTCTGTGGGTAAGTACTAAGATTACACATATTTTACTAATGGAATGTGCAATCTGAGAAATCCTGAAAGTACTTTGAAAGACATCTAACAGTATCGGGCTATACATATTTTTCTTCATTGTCCATATGTTAAAATGAGATTCAGATCTTTTATGCTTTTCTGAAAATATTTCACAAATGTGAATCTTATTCCCTGGCCTTATATTCCACTATCAGTGTTCTTTCTCTGAACAGCGCAAGTTCTTTTGCTTTATTCAGTCAGCTTGAAAAACTAATTGAAAGCAGTAAAACTGTTTTATATTACTACCTAATTGAAATGAAATAGAAAACTGATATAACAAGCTTGTGCCCAACTCCTTATGCAAGGTACTGTAACTGGTGTTTTAATTAAAAAATGTTTCTGCAGGTCATATCTGATTATGCTGGCATAAACACAGATTTTCTTGCAGTTATACTCCATCAGGTTTATGTACTGAGTTCAGGACTTTTTTTTTTTTTTTATTCTGTTCCGATTCTCTTAAGTTTAAAGCACTTTTGGCTCTAATGGAAGAATTTTACTGTGTAGTACTTGCACAGTACTGTTGATCTGTGTGGAGCCTGTCATCTGGAAATCTGTGATCTGTTAGAAAAAAAATCATAATAAAAAGTGCTTATGTTCACTTGCCTGCTGTAGTGTTCTCTCCCACCAGGATCTCATGTTTCACAGGTAGAAGACTGTTAGCTGTTTAAAGTCAGTGAAATTAATTATTCCTACCATGAAATATATTGTCCGTTTGATAAACAAATGTTTTCATGGTCTCTGCTATGATCAAAACCAAGACCAAGGCATTATATATTACATACATATATGTTTGTGTATATATATATATATGTGAATGTGTACGCACAGTTGCATATATTGCGTGCACCACTTGAAAGTAAAAAAACTTTTGAAAATGGAGCTAAAGTCAAGCTTGATAATAGATCACAGTGAAAAGTCTGTTTTAGGTAGAGTACTGTGATTTAACACGCTATTTAAATAGTTGTCTGAAGGTCAAATCATCATTGTTTTTTTCATTTCTTGGTTAATGTAATTAGAGATTTTTCACTAAAAAGCAAGATAAATTATCTGTGTCATTGTCTTTACATTCTTCTTTATACCTTTTCTGTATACATGCTGTTGATGTGTGTATCTCTTGAGGGGACCAGCATAGCAGGATCTTAAGCTCAATTGTTGATGTGAGTTCTCCAGATTAGAGACTTTCTGAGAATCAAAGTTTGCTGTTGTGCTCTATCACTTTTACCAGGAAAAGAATGATGATCCTAGTGATCTGTACTCAGCAGCTGTGATCCAAAACAAACAAAAAAAATTAATCTTCTGGCCACTCAAATTAAACTTTCTCACTTTTCTTGGACCAGTTAAGATTACTAAAGCAGTAGGAAAATCTTGCACACACATTTGCTCTATTAAAGGGAGTGTTCTTTCTCAGGTGCAAGAGACAAGGTAGAAATCTTCAAGAACTATCTCTGATTCAGGATTCTTTGAAATAAATATGTAGACTTGATCAGTCTACTACTGATGATTTCTCACAGTTTCTAGAAATACACAAGCTTATTTTTGAGGAGTGCAAGGGGCAGTAGCATCTGTGTAAATGTTACTCCCTGCAAGAAATGATGTCTCATGGTAAATCTGTTTACTTTACAAGCTTGGCATGGTATATTTTGCTTGCTGTTGCAGACTGTATTTCCATAGGAAACAGTTCAAATGCCAACTGAATCCTCAGAAGTACTGTATGTTTCTAAAGGCTAGAGAATTGTTCTTATCCCAGGGAAAAATCAAGGTTAAAGTCCTTTACCCTGAGTGTTTCAATACTATAGCCTACATGCATGTTGATGGGAGGCTGGAATAGAGTTGAAGCCCCTTTTACAGCAGTAACATAAGAGTGGATTAATGCTGGATGGTGGAATAGAAGGAGGTTTAAGGCCATACCACCTGTCAGTAATCTCTTTCTGCATGTTTATAGTCCGGCTGATTTCAGTAGAGCTGCCTAGCACCTACAGTTCATACTAGCCAATTTTGATTGCAGGATTACTTGCTGCAACTGATGTGCTGCAGTGATCTGAAAAAAAAGGCTTCAGCATTTTTTTGCATCTTCCTAATTAAAAAAAAAATATATGTATTAGTTAACTAATAGAAGACTGTGTGAAACTAACCTTTAGGAAGCTACATTTTAGGTGTAATGGCTGATACAGGTGTAGGTTTTGATGCTGAGCAATAAGCTGTTCTGGATTGCCAGTAGCAAGGACTTGCTTTTGGGTGGGAAGGGAGGAGGATGGCATTGTGTTATGAAGCTTTGGTTTTGCAACAGTTACAAAAGTAGTAGAGAGGTTAAAACATTAATTTTTCTCATCGGGTGGAAGAAGAGCTAGACTTCTGGATGAAACATTTTTAATTATTTTATGTGGGCTGTATTATCTAGATAGGTAATATAATATAACCTATTTCAAATGCAAGAAGAATTTTAAATGAAAAACATGTTTTTCTTAACTGACAGTGTGATACCTGAACTCAGATGCAAGTAGATTGTTTTCATGTAACTGAATAGTACTTAAGGTAATGCATTTAGTTGTAAAATTAATTCAGTAATGCTTTAAAATGTTTCCAGAAACTTGAAAATACCACAATTTATTATTTTTTTAATTATCAATTTGCAAAAGCCTTTTACAATTCTGAGGAAAAAGAAACAAACAAACCAACCAACCAAAACCCAATAACTGATACAGCTATTGAGATTCGGTGAAGTACGAAGTTTCTACAGTAGCAGAGATTTTTCTGGTGACTGTTCAGATAAAGAAATTGGATTTGCTTATGATAGTTCATACCTCCTCCATTACTAAAATTAGGGATTTGCAGCTTCGTTTTACTACTTTTCACCTCTATGCTGTACAATCTAACAAAAGGGTCGACAAGGCATTGCAACTTTGTTACCGTGATCTAGCTTCACTTTATCTGGATGGACAGTTTCTGTACTACATCTATAATATAAATGACCCATGACTCTTCAATGGACTAATTCAGCATTGTAGACTCAGGAGAAGTTTATTTTATTAGAACATTTTGTTTTAGATACATTAGTTTGGTAGCTTGTCACACTAGAATATCTATTTATGCATGGTAGTTTTTCATTAGTGTTATGATTTCTAATTATTTCTGCTTGGGGTACTCCCATGGAGCAGCAAGTAACCAAAAATGTAGATAAATGGTTACTTGACTTAGTTTTCTATCCTCCTAATAGTTTGCTGAATACTGTAGGATTCTGAAAACATCAGTGCCATGATTTCCCAGCTGAACTGGTAGTAGCAGGGGTAGCAATCTTCTAGTAAAAGTAGGAGCTGGGTTAAAGTGAATGTTGGTGAGAAGCAAATAATGAACAGACAAATTGTTCAGAATTGGAAGTCAGGTATTTTTTCACTTTTTCTTTAGCTCAGCTAATCAGGGAAGGACTTGTTCACATGTTTGGAAAATCATCCCTTCAAATTGCCAAGATGCAGAAACAATCGGGAAACAGATGTGAGGCAGGAAAGGGGATGAAAATGCAAAAAAAAAAGGTTTTCCATCCAAGCACTGTTCTTTCACTACTCATTCACAGTTATCAAAAATCATTATGGGCTTGAGTTCTCTGGCCTCACAAATGCGTGCTTGCTTAGTGCTTCATTCTGCCTTTGCTCAGTAATGTGTTTCCTTTCAAAAATGTTTATAACAAGGCCTACGGCTACAATACTGTAAGTCCAAATGCTAATCGTAAACACAAAAGCAGTTCTTTTTATAACAGTATAACTAATAATTTTGTCATAATTTGGCAAAAGTAATGATACTGTTTGCCTCTTTTAGGCAGTCATGATTTGCTTAAGAAACTCATAAGAACTTGTACCCTAAAGCCTGTGTTCAAGGTTTTCTTTAGATTTCTCTCAAACTCTCTCAGAAGGCTTTCTTACCATCCACAATTAATTGAGCTAAATAGTTTTAAATTTCATTTTATCTTGGGGAGAATGTGTGCCCTCTGATTTTGATTTTTGAACCGAATAAGTTATTTATGCAGACATTGAACTCTTAAGATTATTATTGTGCATAAAGTCATCACACCCAAGCATGATTACAGTAATTTTTTTTTTTAATCTAATTTTTTAGCAGAAATGTTCTACTTTGAAAAACCATGAAAATATTAATAGATTGTTACTGCCCCATTAGGCATATACTTGTATTCTTACATGCTGAAAGAGGTGCTATATCAAGCCTACTGATGAAGACACAGGCAAATGAGAAATGTTACTGGTTTCCCTCCTTCCTTCAGTGATGGTTTGAGTGATTTGCCAACCTTATTATTGAAAATTCTTGCCTTCCCATATGAATTTGTCTGCATCTTTTAGACAATGATGTTTGTTGTGGCTTTCTTCACTATATTATAGAGTCCTTTCCTGCCCAGGGTTTTTTTTGTTCCCCTCTTGTTCCCTTTGAGACACTTGTGCTGTAATCAAGTCACCTTTTGATCTTCCTTGATCTTTCTTTTGATTGCTAAACAGACTGATGAGCTCTTTGTCATAAGTAATTTTCTCTTTCCTCTCCAGTTTTAAATAGTACTACAAATAGCAAATTCTGAGATGCAAGCTCATTAAGATTTGGGCTCCTAAAAACCATAATGAATATGGACAAAACTCCAGTCCTTACCTTTTTTTTTTTTTTTTTTTTTTTAACCTTCTTACATACTGCTACTCTATGTTAAAATGGTTGAGACAGTGTCACAGTTTCATAGAAGAGTTTGTGTTGGAAGGGACCTTAAGATCATCCAGTTCCAACCTCCCTGCCGCGGGCAGGGTCACCTTCCACTAGACCAGGTTGCTCAAAACCCCATCCAACCTGACCCTGAACACTGCCAGGGATGGGGCAGCCACCACTTCTCTGGGCAACCTGTTACAGTGCCTCTCCACTCCCATAGTGAAGAAACCCTTTTTGATTAGGCAGTATCATGAAG